AAAAAAAAAAAAAAATTCCACACAAACAGAAACCCAAAGAGAGCAGGTGTAGCCACTCTCTTATCATATAAAATTGACTTTAAATCAAAAATGGTGAAGAAAGACAAAGATGGTCATTATATAATGGTAAAGGGAGCAGTTGACAAGAAGATATAACAACCCTAAATATATATACACCTAACACAGGAGATCCCAGATTCATAAAGTAAATTTTACTATAACTGAGCAGAGATAAATAGTAGCATTGTAATTGCCAGGACTTCAACGTACCACTGACAAAGCTGGAAAGATCATCAAAGCAGAAAATAAATAAATAAATACTGAACATTAATGGGACTCCTGAACAAATGGAACTAACAGACATTTACAGAACATTCTACCAAAAAACTACTGCATATACATTCTTCTGATCAGCACAAGGGACATTCTCCAAAACTGTTTATATCTTAGGCCACAAAACATGTCTCAAAAAATTCAAAAAAATTGAAGTCATACCATGTATCTTCTCAGACCACAGTGGTATAAAACTAGCAATTAATTCCAAGAGAAACACTCAAATATACACAAAGTCATGGAAATTAAACAACCTGCTGCTGAATAATACTTGTGTCAATGATGAAATTAATATGGAAATCAAAAGATCCTCAAACTGAACAAAAAAGGGGACACGAGCTATCAAAATCTGTGTGATCCAGAAAAAGTAGTCCTAAGGGGGGAAATTCATAGCCTTAAATGTCTACATCAAAAAGACAGAACGATCACAAATTAACAACCTACTGTTACATTTCAAGAAACTAGAAAGGAAGAACAAACCAAACCCATAGCCAGCAGAAGAAAACAAATAACAAAGGTCAGAAAAGAACTAAATGAAATAGAAAACAAACAAACAAAAAATACAAAAGGATCAACGAAACGAAAAGTTGGTTCTTTGAAAACATAAACAGAATCAATAGACTTCTTGCCAGATTAACCAGAAATAGAAGAAAAAGGACCCAAATAAACTCAATCAGAAATTAAAAAGGAGATATTACAACTGATACCACAGAAATACAAAATCTCATCCATGAATAATGTGAAAATGTCTACACATAGTAACTAGAAAACTTAGCAGAAATGGACAAATTCCTGGAAACACACAATCTCCTAAGACTCAATCAGGAAGAAATAGAAATCCTAAATATAGCAGTAATGAACTGCAAGATTGAAACAGTAATAAAAAAAATCTCCCAACAACAACAAAAGCCCCAGACCAGATGGATTCACAGCCAAATTCTACCATACCTACAAAGAAGAGCCAGTACCCATACTATAGAAATTATTCCTTAACTTTGAGAAGGAGGGAGTCCCCCCCAACTCATTCTATGAAGTCAGTAGCACCTTGATACCAAAGCCAGGAAAGGACACAACAGAAAAAGAAAATTACAGACCAATATTCTTTACAAATATAGATGCCAACATCCTCAACAAAATACTAGCAAACCAAATTCACCAGCACATCAAGAAAATAATCCACCATGATCAAGTGGGCTTTATCTCAGGGATGCAAGGATGGTTAAACATATGTAAATCAATAAATGTGATTCACTACATAAATAGAAGCAAAAACAAAGACCATATGATCATCTCAATAGATGCAGGAAAAGTATTCACCAAAATCCAGCACCCTTTCATGATAAAAATCCTCAACAAACTAGGCACAGAAGTAATATACCTCAAAATAATAAAAGCCATATATGACAAACCCACAGCCAACATCATACTGAATGGGGGAAAGTTGAAAGTATTCCCTCTAAGAACTATAAAAGGACAAGGGTGTCCACTGTCACCACTTCTATTCAACATGGTGCTGGAAGTCCTAGCCAGAGCAAACGGGTAAGAGAAAAAATAAAAGATATCCAAATGGGGAAAAAGACAGTCAAACTATTGCTGTATCCATATTCACTGATGGTATGATCTTGCATCTAGAAAATCCCAAAGACTCCACCAAAAGACTCCTGAAGTTGATAAATTCAGGAAAAGTCTCGGATTACAAAATCATATACACAAATCAGTAGCGTTTCTATTTACCAATAATGGTCAAGCTGAGAGTCAAATCAAAGACTCACTGCCATTCACAACAGCT